CCCCGCCCTTTGCAGACATGTACGCACTGAACATTTACACCTTCTCCTGGTTCGAAGTTGACATCAGTACCTCGAGAAACTTCAACAGGGGGTACTACGGATCGTTATGTTTAGTGCCTTATAAGAAGTCGCTGCATATTTTTGGAGGGTCGGACGAGACCAGCGAATTCTGCGACGCTTTCAGCATGTCCCCCTTAGTTACGTACGTGTCGTACAAAACCTTGAAGGGGAAATTCGAGCAGCTCAACACAAAAATGCAAAACATTAACGAAAATTCAAATGACAATGAGCATGTGAATTTAGCCGAATTCGAGTTAAAAATAGCTGAGTTGAAAGAGGAGGTGAACAGCATAAACCACATGATGAAGACCTTCGAGCTGAAGTTTTCCGGTAAGCTTGAGGAGTTTTGGCTTCTTTGTCTGCAAAGCAGACGGACGGCGCAGCGCGGCGCACCGAGAGGGGAAACAACGTCCACGTGTGGAGGGCACTCATTTGGGGAAAGCCAGCCGAGCGGTTGAGCGGCTGAACAATTGCGCAAAGCCAAGCACACCTGGTCACGATTTATATATGTATTTATTTTTCTTTGTTTTTGCTTTATTTTACTTGCCTTTATTTTATTCTACTTCATTTTGTTTTTCCCCCCTCGCAGCACTCGAAAAGCTGAACCAGCAGTGCGAAATGCTACTGTCCAAAAACATAGAGACGGAAGCTTTGGAAAAATTAGAACAGCGCATTCGGAAGCTGGAATCATCCAACGTCTTGATGAACCATGACAGGATATAGAGGGGGAGGTGGGAGCGTTCCTGCCCAGTCGTCCTCTTGTCTAGGAGCCTGTGTCTGATTGGCTTACCTCCCTGTCCCGTTAACCGCTTGTTTTTCCATCCGGGGGAGTCATATGGTGGGGTTCCACGCGCGTTGCACAATCTACACCTTTTTCCCTTTTTTTGTGTTTGCTCCCGTCCACTTCCTTGGCTTCCCCTCTTTTGATATGTCAAAAGGGAAACAGCCTCTTCCGCGATGTTAATTTTTTTTTCGTCTTTTTTTTTTCAACCCTCGTTTGCGGCACGGATCGTATGTGTGAAGTATGGCATTGACGGGGAAGAAGAAAAAAATTCCCACTCCTCCTCTTTCATTCTGCGCCATTTGACTTCCTCTTTTCGCGTGTTTTGGCCACTCTGTTTCCCCTCTTTTTTTTCCCCACCCCCAGTTTATTCGTTTTCCAAAAGATGCGTGTTCCGGTTAACCTAATTCGTAGCCTTTCCCCTTCATTTTAAAATCCCCGTTGTAAGAAAAAAAAGAAAAAAAAGTGTGGACAGAACAATTTATTTTTTTTCTAAATCAGCAACATGGCACGGACTGCATGGCCGTAGTGCTTCCTTCCAAGTGAATTGTCCATGCTGTTTTTTTTTTTTTTTTTTTTTTTTTTTGCGGCATTTCCCTCCAAGGGAGGCAGTACTAAGCGGGTGAAGGGAAGAAAAAAAAGAAAAACAGCAAAGAAGGGTTGCAGAGAAGGGGTGGGAAAAATGCTATAGAGTGGCCACAAGCGAAGTTGCACGGTGTACACTGCTGCTGCGTTGGGGTGAGCAGTTAGAAATGGGAACGACAAAATGGGAACGATAAAACGAAACCATAAGACGTAATGATAAAACGGAACGATAAAGTACACACCAGGAAAAACCAATTGGGAATGAAAAAAAAAAAAACTTCGGCCAAAACTAACCGGCTGGTGACACCACATACGCGTACCATAACCCCCCTTAGAGACGCATAGTGCGGGTAAAATTTGGACTAGTCTTCCAGCCAGTGTCTGTTGCCTCTGTCCGGTACTTCCCATTGTGGCTAATTCGTTCTTCCAGTTTGTGATGCACCTTTGGGTGCCCACCTGCGATGCGCCGTTGGATCCCCGTCTCGTGATGCCCCCTCGCCACAGCATGTCACTCCGCGAGGGACCCAAATAGGAGAAGGAAGAAAAAAAAGAAAGAAAAGAAAATCTCACAAAATGACATCATCAAACAAATTCTTGCATGTAAAAAAGGAAGACTCCTACTTGGCCAAGTTTACACATGACACCATCATATTCGCAGAAAATTTATTTAAATTTATTTCGAAGCCTTTCACCCATGGAGGTTTGACCGCTCTAGAAGAGTATCGTGATGACAGCAATGTGGAGACCATCTCTTTCTGTTCAGAGGTGCTACCTTTTTACTGTAAATCCGAGTTAATTCATCGGGGAGACGTTTTCAACGTCCGCTTTGGCCACTGCTGCATTTTCTACAAGAACAGCATATACATATATGGCGGCAACCAACTCCGCGAATCCTTCAGCTCGAAGCTCATTAAGTTCAGCACGGGTAATTCAGCACCGGGCGATGGGGAAGCAGCCAAGGGGCTACTTGGACAGAGTGCCAATTTCATTTTCGCCTACTGTGTGTGCGCAGCGAGGCATTTATCCATCTGCGGTTATTATTTCTGCCATTTTTCTGCTACGTTTTCCCCTTCTTTCTCCCACCGCAGACACGCAAATTTTCAGCCTCGTGGAAGAACGAACCCCGCCGCAGAGCCGGTACTACGCAACGCTGAATTTAGTTTACTCCAGCACCCTGAGCGAAGAGTGCCTGTTCTTGTTTGGAGGCAAGCGGGGCAGGTACATCACGAACGACACCTATGTCTTCAATCTGAGTAACAACAGCTGGGAACACATAAAGGTGCAATCTTCTCCCCCCCCGGTTTTTGGACATGTGTCTTTTAAATACAAGAATATCGTCTTCATCCATGGAGGTAGGGATGCTGATTCGAGTGGGTAACTGCGCCAGGTGGACAGCTGCAAATGGCGCTGCGGCGAAAACGTGTGGCAGCGGCTAGATATAACACCCTCGCCTCCTTTCCCTGCAGGGAACATGGGGAACCTAAACGTGAACAATGACATCTGGTGCTACTTCGAAGAGGAAAAGAAGTGGGTCAAAATTATGAGCAAGGATGAGTATTACAAGAAGGTGGTTTCCAAACCCAGCGCCCGATTTTTCCATTCGTGTTCTGTGTGCATATCTAACCAGGGCAACGAAGTTAGAGCTTTCATCTTCGGAGGGATCGACGCCAGAAACAAATGCGCTGAAGACACTTTCTGGTATTACTCCTTAAGTAATGGGAAGTGGACCCTAATTGAAAATTCCCTAGGGAAGATTCCCGTGGGGCGATTTGGGTAAGCCAGGGGGAAGGGGGTTCTATACACGTGTAGACGTATGAGTAGGTGGATGTGGATATGTATGTGGATATGTATGTGGATATGTAGGTGCATAGGCATGTGTATATTTTTTTCTTCTTTTTTTTTTTTTTTTTGCAGACACAGCTCCACCATCCTGAACGACAGGTGGTTCCTCCTCTGCGGGGGGTACAACTTCTGCTGGTACTCCAGGTCGGAGCTGCTGGGTAAGCCCCAACACGGCTCATGTGTGTGCCATGTGTGTGCCATGTGTGTGCCATGTGTGCGCCATGTGTGAGCCATTCCCGCCACACGCATATATATTCATAGGCATTCGCACCCCTCATCTCCTTCTTCCCCCTTGAAGACATTCACGCGTATGATATAAATCTGAACACGTGGTCAATCCTGAACGTGTACGGCACCCCTCTGGTCACCCACCACTTTTATGGGAAAATTATCCAAGTGGACGAGAGCGGCTACTTCTTCATCTTCGGGGGGCTGCGAAACAACGAGACGTCTAGCAAGATTTACAAATTCACACCGCTCCTTGCGTTCCCATACTTCAAGTAGGGAAAGCAAAATGGGGAGGGAAAATAGGACACAAAAATAGGGCAGGAAAAAGGGGATGCCCTTCCTTGCCTAGGCCAGACGATCCAGCCTCGCCTACCCACCCAAAAGGGAACTCTCCTATATGCTTGCCTTTTTTATTTTATTTATTTTATTTTTCTTTCTTTTCATCCCCCTGACAGACTGCTGCGAGACAAGATAGACGAAATTGAAAAGAAGGTCCTCTACTTGGAAAAGAACCCACTGCAGTTGCTGAACCCGTCTTATGGAAGAGACATAAACGAAATAAAAGACAGCCTCAGTGGGATCTCCTTCACTCTTGTGAGATACATACAACTGGCTAGCGACATAAATGAAAAAATAAAAATTTCAAATTCACTTGCCCAGAGTAACTACCCACAGTTGTCCAAAAAGTTTGAGCAATACAACAAGCAGTATGACTCTTTGGTGCACAGAATTGACCTCCTGGATAACACTCTCTCCGATTCGGACGTCGATGTCAGGGGGGACAATGAGAAGAAGTTACACAAGAGTAGCTCCAGTTTTACTCTATCCAGCGGGTCGAGCAGCGATCACATCGGTTAGCACATCGGTTAGCAGATCGGTGGGTAGAGCGGTAGACGAGCAATCCGTTGTGATGTCAACTGCAGGGGGAGGGGGACATAACTTTAAGATGTGGAAACGCTCCCTCGACAGGGTTGCCCAGTTTGACGCCTCCCTCTTAACAGTGAAGATCTGGTAAAAAAAAAACCCTACCAGCAGGCTCCTCTATCAGCAGCCCCCTGGACCTGTTAATCAAGGCCCTGTGTGTGCTTGCCCCCCCCCTGCCATCACGTGAAGAATGAGCCCCTTTAACTTTAAATGTGTCTCACTGCATCCCATCAGAGGCATGTTTTAATATACACGAATAGGCTTGGGCAGAAACCAAACCTATGGGATCTGCCCCAACGTAAGCAAATCGTCTTGTGGTTCTAATCGTGTCGGTGTGAAGATGCGAAACCGCAGACGCGCAACACATTGCTCCTAAAAGTGGCATTTTTTGTGTATATCATTTTTACAGGTGGTTTTAAGGTTAAAATGTTGACTAAAGGTTCTTTTTTTTTTTTTTTTTTTTTTCCTCTGCAATGGTCGCTACGTTTTATTTTGAGGGAAATCGTCCGGAGTCCGTCCCCCCACCCCGCTTCCCGCGCCGCGCACTTGTGCAGATTGATTGGCCAAATCATTTGGCAGTTCATTTAACCTTTCGGGACAAATTCACCATAGGAGAATCACCATGGTGGTCATTTCCGTAGTGATCGCCCTTCCCTTCCGTTAACGTACCAAATCGGGTCTTCCCATTTCTTCAATTATCTTCTTCACATCACACTCAACTGCCGCTCAAACTGGTCTGCCTTTTTTTTTTTTGCCATTCCGAAGAGCGTCCTTCCAAGTGTTTGCAGAATTATTTGACAATTTCCTTTTGCGCGCATCGTTTAATGTTGTGTGGCTATACGGCTAATCGAGTGAGCTGCCCAAGCGGAAACCGTCGCTTCGTAGGTGTGGCCCGCGAGCATACTCCATCGCAAAAGGCAAATTTACAAGAAGGGGTACATGTAATTGTAAATGAAATATGCATGTAAGTTTTTTCCCGCTTTTTTTCCCTCTTTTTTTTCTAGCTTTTTTCCCCTCTTTTTTTCGCGAACCTTTCCCGCCTCTTTCCCCCCACACAGTCACGCAAAATGGTTTTCATCCCCATTGAGGAAATCTTCAAATATTTCCCCAACTTTTCGAAGGACCGAGTGAAATTCTTACGGCGTTACAGGTGGGGAAGAGCATGAGAGGGCGCGCGCCGGCTGCGTGGTATGTGTGACCAGCTAAACAGACCGCCTGTGTAAGCGGCGTCAGCCAAGGTGGAGTATCCCAAGGGGAATACATATTGGGGACAACCCTCCCCCTCATGTTGTCTTTTACTCGCATGTGTCTCATCATGCAATGTTCACCATTATGACGCTTCATTTTTTACTTCTTCCCTGAGTGTAGCTTCCTAAGTCTCATGTTAGGAGCAGCGGCCGTGGTGAAGTCGCACCGGCCAGACTTCTCCGTGCGGAACTACACGCCATCGTATTTTTATAAGTACCATTTGGAGAAGTTAAAGGATAAAGGGGTGATTGACGAGGAGAAGTACAGCAAGCTGTTGAAAGCGCAGTGATGGGAAAGTGATGAAGCACACCCAATGGTGAGTGCAGATCTGTGGAGAAGTTGCCTGTATCGATTGGTTACGACCACTTCGCGTTAACCTTTCCCGACGTAGTAACCACGAGTGTATCGAACAATCCGTTAAGGTTATTAGTAGAGGGACAGAAGAGCAGAAATGCACCACCATTAAGAATGGCGGCTAAAAGGAGAAGTATGAATTGGAAGGGGACATCATGGAAACCTTTTTTGTGCTTAGGAAATCCGATGAAGAAATGAAAAGATGTAATGAAACAATGTGTTTGCCAAAGCTGGACGTTTCGTCTTATGCCTGTCGTTCCCCCAAGTAGCCATTGTCAAGTACACCTTTACCACCACTATGTGCGCAGGTCACGGGAAGGGTAGTTTTTATCGTCATCCCGAGTGTTACTCCTGCTTGTTCAGTTTTATGAACGTTTTGGATACGTGTAGCTTGGGTGTTGTTTGTGCCTATTAATTTAATTTTTTTTTTCTTTCTTTCTTTTTTTTTTCTTCCTCGCCTCCCCATTTTGTGTGTTGGCTAAAACGTATGTCGTCTACACTACGCAGGGCGAAAAGGGGCCTGTTCATATTTGGACAAGCGCTCCGATAAGCTGTTTAAACGTTCGTGCTGTTACTCGCCTCCCACAGACGCAGGAGTGTGGTGCGCATAGTGTGTGTATTTCCCTCTGCGGGAAACAATGGATATTGGCATGGAGAGGACGGTTTAGGGTTGCTCAACATGGAGGGTACCTTCTGCGTAATGGCCAAACAGGTGGAGTATTATTACAAAGGGGTATCACATCGCATGAAGCATAAATGCTAATCGCGTTGCCGTTTCAATCGAGAGATTCCCCCCCAAAAAAAAAGGGTGCCTGTTGTACTGCCGTTTATATGGGCAAAAGGTGGCAGTCCACAGGTGAAGGCCCATTTTTAGTTCTCCTTGCATGAGTGATCATATTACACAGGGCATTTTTCCCTGATGCCACTTCTCTGAAATGCGCCTCTTGAAGGAGAGAAGTACGAACGTGGAAGAGCGGATGAAGGAGGCTGTTTCTGCTGCGAAGGTGGGGAAAATATCTGTCACGCTTTATGTGTTCTATACACTGGGGAGAAGCTTCTTTGCTCATCCTTTTCTTTTTCTTTACTTTCTCTTTTTTGTTAGTAGCTTTCTCTTTTTTGTTAGTAACTTTCGTTTTTTTTTTTCTTAACTTTCGCTATTTCTTTCTTAACTTTCTCTTTTTTTTTTCTTGAATATGCCATATGTGAATCACTTTAACGGCGCAAGAGAGTCCTTTTCCAACCTTTTCGCAATTCACAAATCGGCGTTGATTCCCGGATGTGATACCATCTGCCGATACAGCCATTTTATGATTTTTTTTTTTTTTTGCCTGACTTTCGAATGTAAAAATATTGCAAGTAGAATTTATAAACCAATATGAGGGCTACCCAAATTTTCAACGCTTTGGAGGAGGAAGCTCTTGAAGAAAGAAGCTGTTTATTTTTTCTCTTTAAACAGTTTTAAAATAGCACGCGGTGTTTCCTCGCCAGACAAAGCTTGGCGCATCGTTAAGCAGATTTTAACGAAGCGTGTAGAGGGAAATCCCCGCTCATCAGCAAGTGGTTAAAGATTCCAGACACCCATGGGCAGTATCTCCATTTGGTGACACCCCAGAGGAGAAGTCGCAGCATCGAGAAGGGTTGTAATCGAAACAGTAGAACGGGAGGTAGTGTCCGCGGTGAGGTAGAATCTATACACCGATTGAGCAGAAGTTATAAATTGGGACCGCGCCAGTGAGTATCTTCCAGGCAAGTACCTTCCGAGTAGGCACCTCCTAAGTAACCCCCCTCGAGCGTACATCCCAGTTAGTCCCCCCCGGTGCAGCGACAATGAAACTGGTGACCTTCTTAATGAAATTAACAAACGAAAATGTCACCATCGAGTTAAAGAACGGGACCCTCGTGACGGGGATCATAACGGGGGTGGACATCAGAATGAATACACACATGAAGAGCGTTAAAGTCGTAATTAAAAACAAGAATGTCGGTGAGTATAATGTTAATACGAAGCAGTTTTTGTCGCTGGATCACGTAACGATCAGGGGGAATAACATACGATACTTTATTCTCTCCGACAGCCTCCCGCTCGACACGTTGCTGGTGGACGACACGCCCAAACAGAAGGTGTCCAAGAACAAGGACTTTGTAAACAAGGACAAGGTGAAGGCCGGCGGAAAGGGCAGGGGGCGCGGTCGCAAAATTATGAAAAGGTAGGGGTAAGCGCGGCGCAGCAGTGGGATTAACATGAATGGAATGAATGGGATGAATGGAAGAGAACAAGTGCGCAGAACGGAGCTCAGGAAGGATGGATCCTTGCCAATTGGGCATTTATACCTTGTCCCATCACCATGCGTATAAATATAAATGCCTTTTCAACACCGCGCTTTTTTAAAAAAAAGAAAATAAATAAACTGCCCATCGTAATGGCTAGCCAATTATATACTGTCTTTCCCATTTGATTATATTTTTTTACCTGAACAGTTCATAATTTTTTTTTTCTTTTCATATTATTTTTATATCATTTTATTCATTTCAGCTTCATCCCTGTGTGTATTTTCGTGGGGCGTATCTTTGCGTAGTGATCACACATCACACCACTTCGTCTTTCGCCTCACTTCAACATATTTCGCCTAACTTATTCCGCGTGTGAAATCGCAGAACGGAGGCTTTCTTCCTTCATTCTGTGATATGGCAACCATTCGCTCGTTTAAGATTAAACGAAATTGTACGCACAGACGTGGAAATGGAAGTGCGGGCGATGGCAACGGTGTTGTATCTTGCTTTTGCCGTCGTCCATTTGGCTTCTTTGGCGTTAATGGCCCTCCCCTCTGCGGGAGAAAAGTTCGCAACCACGGAGAAGTCAATTCGTGCAATTTTCGACAAATTGTAACAACTTACAAAACTGCTTCCATTTAAGACGTACATGGCAGGGGCACTTTTCCCTCCACAAAAATTTCCCCTCCTCACTTGTCATTCCGGATAAAAGTTTTTTTTTCTTTTAAGTGAACATTTCACTGCAATTTTATTCAACTGGGTGGGTTCCCTTTTTACGCGACGAGTTGTAAACATAACAACAGGTGGAACGGACAAGTGGCTTGTGACTAACGTGTTGTGCCTCCATTGCAGCTTTACTGCCCTGCGGCTTCAATGCCTTGTAGCTTTAATGCCTTGCAGCTTTAATATTTTTTCTCCCCTTGTTTTGGCCACTCATTGGTTCAGAAACTTGGGCTTCATTTTTTTGCCCGCGTTCAAATTGCCTGCTTTAAAACGCGAAAAAAACGTGCATTTGGAAAAACCACCCGCATAATTCAGGTCGCTCCATTTTTGCCCTGGCGAAGCCGCTTTAAAATGCCAACCTCTTCACCAACCAAAAAAGTAAGCGACGAAAAGGTATGTAGAAAGAATGTTGTTTTTGTGGTCCTTTGCAGTCATGGGAGGGGAATTTTTTTTTCTTTTACCCCTAAGAGAGTGCTCCTTTTTTTGAACGTTCATTCAGGAGCGGAAAAATGCATATGAACTGTACGTGTTCGTACGTGTACCTTTCTGCAACTTGTAAGCGTAACCGCGGCGCTGGCGACAAAGTTCCACGTCGCAGAGTGAACTCCACTGCTGAACAAATCAGCCTATGAGCGGTGAGAGTTCTCATTGGGAAAGGGGCGCCCGCCTGCCGATTAATTTGCATACCGTTGGTGATGTAACACAAGGGGAAAACGCCCACCTTTATATTCATATAAAATACGCACCTGGATACGCTCACTGTCCATTTTGCGTACCTTCTTTTGTGCTCTTCTTGTTTTTTTTTTTGTCCCCGTCCGCCATAACAACCGCATATACCTGTGCAACAGAAGAATATGTCGGCTGTGTGGCATGCCGACGTAGTGAACGTACCCCGCCCTCATGCTGGTCAGCCTGCTTAGTTGACCCCACTCGCCGGCGCAAAAAAAAAGTGTTCATCCATATCTATACACTTGCGTAATTACTTAATTATTTAATTACGTGTGTATACCTGCGGGCGCTTGTAGCAGGAACCCTGGGCGAGACGCACCATGAGGAGCATTCTAAATAGCGTATTTATTGTGAACCATAACGTTGGCAAGAACGCAAAGTGTAGGAGATTCGTTTCAGCCACAGGTAGAGTGAAAAATATTTTCGACAGAAAATATGTCTTCAAGGGGAAGGACTACTTCCTCTGGAGTGAAGGGAGAAACGCACAGCAGGAGGGTGTCCATCTCACGGGGAAAAACAGAAAATGCTTTTCAACCTTTATGAAGAATGTTATCGAGCAGGTAGGTTTTCCCCCTTTTTGGTGGATGCGATCGAGGGGGGCCTCTCTCCCCCCGTGGCGTGACGCACTCGCGGAGAGGTTCTCTTGGAACCAATTGGAAGTGTTCCTCACCACCGCGAATGAGCGGTAACCACTGCTAATCGCCTCTAACCCCTTTGCAGGTCAAAAAAGACATGAAGGAAAACAAGCAGTACCAGGAGGCCCTGAAGGAGCTGAAGGAAAAAACCGAAATAGACCACAAGGCGGTGAAGCTGAAAAAAAAAATCGAGGAAAACATAAATCTCCTAAAGCACATAAAGGAAAAAAATGAAGAAGCAGTGAAGCTTCTCTACAGTGATGTCAGCAATTTTATTCGCTACTGTTTTGAGAATTACACACTTTTTAGGCTTTCAAAAAATGCCACTGTGAAGTTTTTTCTGATTCTGCAAAAGTTGCTTCTGTGTACAAGCAGCAAGGTAGCAGAACTGGCGGACAAGTGGAATGAGAAGAACAGCGCCTTGGGGCAGCTGGACAAGTGGAGGCAGGAAATGGCCATCAAGCGCTACAAGAGGAGTGCGCGTGGGGGAAGCGAAGGAAGCGGAGGAATGGGAGGAAGCGACAGAAGCGGAGAAAGCAATATGAACAACACTTTGGACAGTGACGCCCACCCCAGTGATGACCTCGGCAAGGGGAAAACCGGATCCCTGCCAAACCAATCCAAAACGGAGAGTAGTGCAAACAAAGCGAGGCAATCTGGAAAGCACTCAGAAGAGGGGGTTGCAGAGGACAAACCCGGGACCAGCGAACTGGTACTGGCACAAGAATCCGCATGGGACAAATTTGGAAGCAAACTGAAAGACATGCCATTTTTAAACAACTTTTTTGAAAATCCCATTCTGGGCAAATTATTTGGCGAAACCGAACTGGCAGCAGCCCTGAGGGAGATGAAAATGTACGACAAAAATTTTAAGCTGTCTGAATTGATGTACCTCTTTGAGTTTGTTATATCGAAGCACATCGTTGAGTCTTACCTAATCGGTGATGAAGAGACGCTGCGGCTGCATTGTGGGCAGTCAGCTTTTAACTCCCTAAACGCAAGCATAAAGGAGAGGAAGAAAAAAAAAGTATACTTGGACACAAATGTGCTGATATATAAGAATCACGAGCTAAAGGGGGCACAGAGAATGGAGGAGAGTTCCCCCTGGTTCATCTTCACCTTCCACACGCAGCAAATCAACTGCTTAAAAAATTCGAATGATGAAATCATCGAGGGGAACATCGACGATATTCGCGAAGTAGTTTACACCATCGCTCTGTCCAAGCATCCCGAGCCGGAGAGGGAGGGCCTGCTCTACCCCTACATCGTGCGCGAGTTTGCCATCATCGGGAACACTCCCTCGTGGTGAGGAGGCGATCAAGTGGTCAATCTGTCAAGCGGTGAATCGGTCAAGCCGTGTGCGAGGCGAACTTCCTCCATTTGTGCCGCCTCTTCCTCAAGGCCCCGTACCGCTTGGAAAAAAAGCCCCCCTCGGGAGATACCCCAAAGGTGGAACCCATTCTTTTTCCTTTCATTCGTCCTTTCTTTCGTCCTTTCTTTCGTCCTTTCTTTCGTCCTTTCTTTTTTTTTGAACAAGAAAACGCCTACAGTGCACATCGCGGTCGGCGTGTTTGTTTTGATTTAAATTTAATCTTCAAAAGGCGGGCGCTTCTTTGCTGTTCGTCGCGCAGACAAAAAAAGGGGGGGGTGCACACAGAGAAGTGTCATCGGGTGAGCGGGTTAGTGTGCACACGTTCGCATGCCCAGATGCCACCTGTTCAGCGCTCCCCTCCGCCGCTTCCCCCCCGTCAACTAAAAAAGTAGCGACTGTGGCGAACGAGGGATACGTCGAGATGGCCCTGTTCCGGGGGCGCGGGGATCCTGGAGGCGTGCTTCCCCAAGCGCATCTGGTAGCTCTGGTAAAGGTTCTGTAATATGGGTTCATCGTACAGCGTGACAAAAGAATCTCGAATAAATGTGTTCATTAGGTCCACATTGCATGCGTGAGCCCAGTAGGAGTCATGCACAGCGGCAAAGCTGAGATTCTTCTCCAGGATCATCTTCTCAGCTGTCATCATAAGGTGAGAAGCGTCCAGCGAATGGACAAAGTTTGGAGGGAAACCAAGTCTCTGTTTGTTTTTATAAAGCAAGCTATTCTGATACGAGATGACACTGACTGACTGCAGAGGAGTGTTGACTAAAATTCGTTGTCCTAATCGGTAGGGTTGTTCGCATGGAAGACCTATGGGGGATAACCACGTGACCGGGATGTTCAGCTCATTCGTCACTTTGGATAGATTATTGAACCATCTCTTTATTACCATTGCTCTCTTAAAAATTTCGCTAATCGATTCGAAGATGTAATTGGCGATATACTGCGACACCTGGTTGATGGCATTCCTGTCGAGCACTTTGCTAATCATGTTTTGTATCTTCCCCTTCACTTGATCTTTGGCTCCTACTGAGGTGACTCCGTAGCAGATGGTCATGATGGTTTGTTTGACGACTTTTCTCTTCAGGAGGTCGAATTGGAAGCAGTGTCTGGCGAGGTCTCCTCGGGAGAGGGAGCTAGAATTGCCACTACCACTGCCGCCACTACCACTGCCGCCACTACCACTGCCGCCACTACCACTGCCGCCACTACCACTACTTCCCGTGGGGGACGCAGCCGTTCCGTCCAGGTCGGCCCTAATTTTACTCCTCACAATTTCTAACACGACGGTGTAAATATCCTGCGGCTCATCGGATGGAATGATGTTGACCGCCTTCCCCCCGTCGTAGTCCCTCCCCAGGGCGGCATAATGCTGAAGGCCATTGCAAGTGCCATCCTGCTGCACAGGGATGTTACTCCGATATTTGGACGGATCAGGACATTCCATCGCTCTGGTGAGGTCTATCGAGACGGAGAGAGCTTGCCATGGTTTCTCTGCTGTGTTCCAAAATTCCACATGTTGAAAAGGATTTTCACTAAGCCGTTTGATATTTTCCAAATTGGCATCAACCCATCTAATCCGCTGCTCGAAGTTAAGTTTGTCCTTCCCAAAGTTATTGGCGAGGTGTATTTTAAGCCAGAACAATCCCCTGGGACCAATTTCTTCTCTATCATGGAAGGTAATCAGACTGCGACAGATGTCGTCACTCATGTGGTGGAGGTGTGGAGAGAGGGGGTACATCCTCCCCCGGAAGTCAATATTATGAGGGAAATAAATCACCTCACAATTTTTCAAGGTCTTTGCTACCGCCAATTTTTGTAGAAAAGTAGGACGCTCACTTATCAGGCATTTATTCAGTCTGCTGATTTCTTCTCTTAAGAGATAGTACTTCTTTACGTCCTCTACATCCCTCTTTGTCATGTCGGAGGGGCCACTTGGAAGGTCATAATTCTGACTTCGCGGGATGTTTCCAATTGTAATTCCATTCATATATGCATATTCAATGAGGTGTAAAATCTCTCCATTTATTTTCCACCGGACATTTCCTATTTGGGAGACTATACTTCTGATTCGCTCCAAGTTACACACGTCTATGTTGAAAAGCGGCTTCACATTACATCGGATGAAATTATTTTTCAGAAGTATCATTCCTCCTTCGGAGTGAGTCCATTTCTTAGGCTTGCTTATCATCGGCAGGTGGTTCAGCGGGATGTGCGAGTTTATCGCATTGTTTAGAAGATAATTCGCGCAACACTCCCGCATGTGTATGACTCCGTACCAGCTTCCATTCTTCCACATGTACGAGTGGATAAATACTGGGAGCTCTATCTTGTTTGGGTCTCTTCTCGATCGGTACAGCACTACCTGCTTGTTCTTCAGCTTCTCCTTCTGCCGTTTGCAGAAGTTGTTTTCGCGCCTACTGGCGGGGTTGGCGGTGTTAGGGGGGTTAGCGATGTTAGGGGGGTTAACCGTGTTAGCCGCGTGAGCCGTGTTAACCGTGTTTGCGGTGTTCGCCGCCTCATCCGTGTTATCACCATCCTCGCCACCCCTTTGCTTCCCCTTCTCCTTTCCCCTCTTCTTTCCCCTACGCTTCCCCCTCTCCGCCGCCTCCTCAGCGCCCCGTCCCTTTCCCCTCTCCAGGACCAGAAACTCCAGCGAGTTAGACTCCTCCTCATAGTACTTCTCGTAGTTGAGCTCTTTCTCGTATTTGCAATCCGCGTGCAGCTTCTCCCCGTTACCCTTTGCCATCTTGTGCAGGAGGAGGTAGTACCTGTATTCATTCCGGTGTTCCTCCTTGGCGACGCTCAGATCGACGTCCATCTTTGCGCTGTCCATGAGCATCTTCAGGAGGAGCCCGCCGACTGCGGCCTTCTTCTGCGAGTTCCACTGGACCAGGTCGAAGTCATCGCGGGGGTGAACCTCGGTCGATTCTGCAGTCGATTCTGCCGCCAACTCTGCAGTTGTTGTTGGAGAGACCCCTGCCACTACTCCTGCGGGGGCTTCCTCCTCCTTTTGGCGCCCACCCTGCAGCTTTTTCCTTATGTCGCAGAGTATTCTGTATTTCTGAAAATGCGAGAAGGACGCGTTGGCTTTGTTCCTCTTGACGTAACGGTACAGAAGGTTGCTCTTCTCGAGCTGCTGAAAGTTCAACTCGTTGTTGATTTCTTGGCCGATCTTTATAGCGATGTGTGTGAAGAGAGACTGGTATGAGTAGCCCTGCTCGAAGTTCTTCGATTGTGTGATGATGCTGTTGGCATATTTCTTCTTCTGTGGGTTGAAGGTATACTGAATGGTCCACTTCACGGTGATGATGGCTAGTAGTTTGTCTTCTATCAGTTCGGGTAGCCCCCCCCTGCCAGTATCGCTCAGCGGGGTGGTCCCAGCGGTGGTGCTGCTTGCGGTGGTGGTGCCTGCGGTGGTAGTGCTCCCAGCAGTGGTGCTGCTTCCAGAAGTACTCCCTTCAGCGCTACAACTTGCGCCGCCTCTCCGCCGCTGCCTCTCCCTGTAGTTGGCAATCCTGCGTTCCAGCTCGTTCACCCAACTCAAGTATATTTTGCACAGCCCCCGGATTTCCGTTATCTTCTTCAAATCGTGGAGATTCGAAACGAACTCTTCCGCTTCCTCGATTGCCTTCTGGTAGGAGGACCGCTCTATGAGCATTTGCCTGCGCACGTTCACAATGTCTTCCTCCTCGGGGGGGTCCCTCCCCTCCGTCGAATAGTTAGGCTGTTGGTCAGGCGGTGTATTTGCCGGTTCGTTCATCCCAGCGATATGCCGTTCGCTTGCGCCCTGGACGATGGGGTATATGTGTTCCCCGTACAACTTCTCTTTCGCCTTTCTGATAAAGTTAACGTCGAAGAGGCTGTTCACGTCGCTGCCTGACCCTTTGATGCAGTCGTCGACAATATTCATATGCACCCCCTGGATATGACTCAGAACTTCTTCCCCCCCAAGGTCGCACATTAGGAGACCATTCGCCGCCATGTATTGGTCGAGGTTTTCAAAAAAGGTCACCACATCTCCTTCTATATTTTGTAAATATTTTTTATTTAACGTGTTTATGTAGCTGACAATTTGCTGCTTCTTCTTTTTGTCCAATTTCTGGATTGACCTTATTAAGCTGTGCAGCTCTTTCAGGACCTGCTCGTCGAGGTTCTTCGTCCCCACATCGGGCCGTAAGGGGGGTGTATTCTCACAGAGTGTATCCTCACAGGGTGTCTGCTTACTTTGCGGATCCCCTTGGGGTGAGTGTCCCCCCCCAAACTGTGTAGAATCATCTCCCAAAGTTATATCTTCCCCATTACCGCTAATCGGCTTGATCGAAGCAGGGGCCTCCTCCTCCCTCGATATGAGTACCTTTGAGGATATAAATGCCCTGGTTTGCCAAGAGTGCGATGTCCTTGGATTTGCGCTTCTTACGTAGCGGGAGGTGTTCTTTCTACTTAACGGTGCGAAGCGGGGGATAAGGTGTGACGCGAGTGCCTTCAATTTCATTTATTGTAACGGGTTGGACGAGAGCGCGGAATAAGAAGAGGGCCGGGGGGAAGGGGGCTGCGCGTCATTTTGGAGCACTCCTCGCGGTGCATATATATGTTGTAAATAAATATGGGCACACATATGCCTTTACATACGCATGTCTGCACGTGCTCGTGGTCTCCCCCTCCCTTGGCGCCACAACCTAGGGATTCCACAACCCATGGTGTGTTGCAAAAAAAAAGAAAAAAAAAGAAAAAAAATATCCCCACTGAATATGTGTACGCGTGTAGAGAAACTGTACTACTGATGTGACCAGCAAATAGAAAATTAATCATCCATTTTTTTTTTTATTATTTCTATAGCAGCCGCCTCCCACATCAAACATGTTATCTGTTCATTCTTGCAACGAACGAATTTTGCAACGTCGTTTTCCTCTAAAAGGTTTAAAGAAAGAAAAAAAAATTGAGCTCCTTTGTCAAATGTAAGGGTGATGGATAACACAGGACGAAGTTTTCTTTTTTTTTTCCCTTTCAATTGGGAAGAACCTGGGGAGGAGAAACAAAAGAGAAAAAAAAATGCTACATTTTCTTTTTTCTCAGCACTGTTCAGCTCTCTGCCGCGGAAAAATTATGTGCCCCGCTCGGACTGCGTATACGCATGTAACATAAACATATAAAAAGATATAGGCGCGTATGTATGTTTTTAATGTTGGCACCCTTTCGAAGAGCGAGGGGGAGAATGGACGAACATGCTGCGCATGAGCTGTTAAACGCCTTTGGGCTTCCTCCCCGGGGAGTCCTTCATTCGGTGTGCTCCACATTTGACAGCGCGTGCAGCGTCATCTGCCCAAGCATGGGATTACCACTTAGTCAATCGGGTTGACCTACGATGGGAACTTTTTTTTTTTTTTTTTTTCCCGCTCCCGTTTAATGAATCATCTTTTTTCGTCTATACGACGGAGAAGACGAATACACGTCCATGCGCCTGTCCTTTCATCCGTCCACACAGCTATGGGCAACCGATACCCAGCCTACGTTACCACTCGGATGAGGAACGCCCGGGACACAAGCTATCGTCCCCTCGTCAAGTGGGCCCATTGCGCCAGTTCCTCTTTGGCATGCACGTGGTGGAACAGAGAAACATAAAATAAAAAAATAAGATAAAAAAACAAAAAAATAGAAAAAAAACTGTACATTTACGTAATACGCGTAACCCATTAACGTTACTGCCACAGAATGGACGTCCTCCTTCCCCTTTCACGACAATAATTCTACACCCCAACGTTGAGGGAGGAATACAACTTGTATGCAGTGCATGTAGATGTGCACATAATACCGCATTCCACAATGATATGGGGAAAGCAGCCCCATTCGCCACGTCCGTCGTACCTGCCCCTTACCCTATTTCATTTCTCCCTTCTCGGTGAGATTCCCCCGAAAATAAAGAAAAAAAAAAGAAAAAAAAAATTACATATGACAGGTTACGTCTTGCCACGAATCGGAGGGTAGCTGTGCTGAGAGAAATGGCGCCGTCCGAACTCCCGCGGGAAAGAGAGGGCCGCGGCGAGGCCACTTCACCAAGACGGAACCTTCGCATGTATGTTCCTGCACCTGTACGCTGCCCTGCACGAGCAGACGCAGGAGCACACGTAGGAGTACATGCATCAGGACATGTGCTTTCCAAGCGTATGCCATGCATCCGCGCACATCCACAAGGACACATAACCCCGCTTTGTTCGTTCTACATGAGGTAAGTACCAGGTAAACTCCACTCCCGCTTTGCGAAAAATCGATTTTGTTTTTCGTACCTTTTCTCCTTCGATCATGTGTTACTTAGCCATTTGCTTTTTTTTTTTTTCTTTAAATTTGCCGTTTTTTTTTCTTTTTGTTAACTGTTTTATACCTTCCCGAGAGGGGCATATCAGTTTTGTTTCCTTATTGGTTTGCATTTTTTTTTAAGCTTTTTCTTTTTTTTTTCCATCCTGGTTTTACTTTAGCATCTTCCCAGTACCTTCTTCACGTCAATTATTTTTTTTTTCTCCTTCCCTTTTAACATCACCGCTTTTAAGCAAAAATCGCAGCTTGCCACCCCTTCGCGGAAGGGGACACTTTGGCAAAATTGCAGCTACACTCAAAGGGCAGAAACAGAAAGGGGGAAAAGGGGGCCCATTTTTAACCGATTTGCTGCCCGGTGGAAGGGCTACCACCCCGCGAGGCATTCGCCAAATCGATGCGCGAGAAAACGGCGCACGAGCACTTGTTGGCAGTGTTGTTAGCGCGCGAACAGGAATGGTCACCAAGCCGATAAAGTTTATTGTCCTGAGGCCCAGGGGGATCCCCCAAAATTTGGGTAACCCAGCGAGGAGTGGCAGAGAGGGATAGCTTGAGTGGGAGCGCCGGATAGCTAGAGTGACAACGCCGGATAGCTAGAGTGACAACGCCGGATAGCTAGAGTGACAACGCGGGATAGCGAGAGTGACAACGCGCCGACGTGCATGGATGCGAAGAGGAGTAGATACTTACCGGAGGAGATGGGGAGGCACCTTTGGGGACACTCTCCCCAGTTCGCCTATAGTGCCTACAGAGCACGCTGAGTTGATCACCTCTCGTGTAAGCATATCCCCTCGTGAGACCGTCGAGCTGTCTGTACCGCTTAGCTGTGATTTGTTCTTTTCGCCCCTCCACACGTAGTATATCCTCTTAACGTGGGTGCAGCCCAAACATGTTACGTCTCCCCTCCACTTTTTCCACTTCCCCCACAGAACTGGAAGTGAACTGCAGCGAAGTCATAAAAAATGTGAAGGAGAAATTGTTTTGGGAAGACCTAAAAAAGGGTAATTGCT